CGTTTCCTGGCCCCGACTGCCCCTTTGTGTGTGACTGTTTGCAGCCTTGTCTCCCCAGCCATATTTGGGGCAGGCAGCCTAGGAGCAGAATTCTGCCTCCAGCAGATGCCCAGGAAACAGAGGAGAGGCAGGGCCTGGAAGCTCCGTCCCGGTGTGGAACCTGGCACATAAAGGGTGCTTAGAAAGCACTGTTGTATGAATGTTAATGTTTGGGCTCCACCCCCTCACCTTTCCTCTGGGGCCTTCCACTGTTGCCCCTGATGTTAGCCAACCCCTCCAGCTGTAGGACACTTTTCCTTCCTGATTCCCCAGAAAGCTCTGTTTGACCCTCGGTCATGGTGCAGGCCAGTCAGCTGTGAAATGGACTTATCTCTGTGTTTGTCCAGGCCTCTTTATCATCACAGTCCCCTCGAGCATTCAGTCATTCAGCAAACATGCACCAAGCACCTTCTCTGTGCCTGGCCCTGTGCCAGATCCACATGAATGAGACACAGTCCCTGCAGACACACACCCCCTTTCCCATAATGAGTGAGGGCTGAGTATAGGGTAGGATAGAGGCATGTGGGGTGTGGTCAGTCCAACCTGGTGGGGGAGAGGAAGGCTTTGGATAGGAAGGGTCAGCAAGTTGGTCTCCAGGGTCAGCACTTAGTGCCTGCCAGGTGCCTGGTGAGTGTGTGCTAAGAGACTGAGCAGACTAGACTTGGAGGTAACAGGACTCTACCTGGGGCACTACAGGCAGGGCAGGGCAGGGCATGCAGGAGACTTCCTGGAGGGAAGGAGCCTCTGACTTAGCATGTGGTGAGGCACCAGATGGGGACAGTTTCATGTGCCGGGCCAGACTGGGACTCTAATAGCAGCAGGCATGACCCCCGGGAGCTGGAGCTCTGCCGTCACTGGCCCTCTCATCATCACGTGTGGACTCTGGGGGCCTGCTGGGGGCCTGGAAGAGAGCTCACCTCTGAACTCGAACAAGTGGCATCTCTTTGGCACTTGGCCTATCTTCCTAGGCCCCTCTGAGACTGGAGGGGTATGCCAGGGGTCAGTATAGCCATCCCTCTGTCTCCATGCAACTCGTACCCAGCCCATTGGGGGAACTTGGGGGTGACGTCCTCATTCACCTAAGCCTAGGGCAGAGATTAGATCCAGATGGGCCCAGATGTGGCATCCTTGGAGCTGGGGCTGTGAGCAGACGACCCCCCATTCAAGGAGCCCAAGAGGCTGTTCACATCTCTGCTGCCTCACTGGCATCCTTCTGGCTCTCTGACATGCCAGACACGCCATTCGGCTGTCTTGCATAAGTTACTTCAGTTCCTCACAGCAATCCTGGATCATAGCTAAGGGGGACACTGACTCTTGCGGAGGGGGAAATGTCTTGCAGGGTCTCACGGCAGGTAAGAGTCAGAGCCAGGGTTCGAATCCAAAGTCTGTCTGTCACCTACACCTCTGCTCCAAGGCAGGGCAGGCATTGTTACACGCATTAGACAGGAGAGGACACCGAAGCTCACCTGATAATTAACCAGCATTCATGCACATCTTTACTTTTTATGAAGCTCTTGCCTATACAGTGTCTTACTTAATTCTCACAGCAATCTGGCGAGGTAGGTATTAGCCCCACTGCACAGATGAGGAAACTGAGGCTTGCACAGGAAGTGACTCATCCAGGCCACACTTCCTGTGAGTTAGGGGCCAGGTTCTGACTCCCAATCCTGTTCTCTGTACCTTCTCCACTGGCATCTGCCCTCCCAGGCGCCAGTAGTAGAGGTGGGCTGTCCAGAGGTGTGATCTGCCTGCCACCTCTGAGGCAGCCGCCTCCCCACATGTGCTCGGTGTTGCCGCTCCACAGCCAGGGATCCTCTTCCCCTCTCCCTATCTTGTTGGTCCAGATTATTTTTCTTCATAGTTCTCATCATTGCCTGACATGACGTCATACATTAATCCTTCAGTGTTTTATTTCTCCCTCAGCAGAATTTAAGCTTCCTGACAGGCAGGACAGTATCTGCTGTGTTCACTGCTGTTTCCCCAGTGGCTTGTGTTAGTGCTCGGCATGTTGTAATGCTTCACGCTGTGGGTCTTATCTCTGTCCCCACCCCCTTCCTCCAGGAAGCCACCCCCTCAATCCAACTTCTCTATTCTCGTTTCTGTGTTGGGCTGTCTTGCACTCCCGTTTCCGGGCTGTCGAGCGCTTGGCCTGCGCCATTAGCATGCACGCCACGTCTTTGTTCCAGCAGTTCCCCAAACTGCAGCGCTGCTTTCCTCCTCTCTGCCTCTCGGGTCTCGTCTTCAGGGCCTGGCGAGGCCTCATGGCCCTTTTGGAGCCTCCCTTGCCCAACCTCGCTCGGCTGCCTCTTCTTGTGACACGCAACCCATGACTGTGCACCTCTGGAAAACTCCGTTTTTGCTCATGATTTGTACCGCGTCCCACTCTGGCAGACGGGAAGAGCAGCAGCGGTTACCACCTCGTCACCTGACCAGTGCCAAATGTACCGCACACACATTTGTTAAACTGAATGTTCCTGGCAGCCCTGGGAGATGGGCATAGTTACCCTCATTTTACATGGGAGGAAACGGAAGCTAAGAGAGGTTAAGTGGCTTGCCTGAGGTCAACAGGCAGGGACAGATCTGGGCTCAGGGTCCATCTCAGATCTGAGGAGTTGGGGCCCAGACTCTGCCACTCTCAGGCATGTGTGAGAGGAACCCCGGGAAATGCTGGTTTCATGAGCCCTGAAGTGCGGCCTTCTGCTGTCAGATGTTGAGCAAGGTGGTGTTGAGACACACCTTCCCCACCCGCAGCCCTGGGCCAGGCCCTGGCACTGGGGCTGTCTGGCCCCCCTGCGGGGGCCCAAGATCCTGCTTTTCCAGCCAGCTTACAGGTGATGCTGCTGCTGCCATTCCCAGACCATGCTTTGAGTGGGAAAGTGCTAGCATACATTTTGTCTTCTCTGGCCGGGGCACCCAGCCTGCATCAGATAGAGCAGGGACTCACCTACCCCTGGTGGCCATGGCTGCTGCTTCACTTTATCCTACACAGCTCAGGAGGCAGAGCCGCTGCTGGAGGATGACTTGGCCGGCCAGCCCTCGGACCAGGGGTTCAGGCATGTGCTTAGACCTTGCTTCCCTCCCTCATATACTCACCCACTCACCTGTCCCACATGTAGGCCAGAGTGAAAGATCATGCGACCCTCAAGGACAAGGTGTGAGTAAGTCATTTGTAAGGCCCTGCTGCTACACAGGTTAACCAGGCCCTGCTGTGTCCCATTGGCACAGCCCTTCCCGCTGGGCAGCTGCTGTAGGGAAAAGGGAAGAATCACAGGTTTCAGCCCTGGCTCTGCCACCTACTCAGTACCCCTCTCTGGACCTCAGTCTGCCTGGCTGTCAATTAGGCTACACTAGATGACTCCAGAGGGCCTTGGGCTCCAGGGTGGTTTGTTGGGCAAGTCTGGAGGTGGGAAGGTCCTATGATGGTAGGATTTTTAGAGAGGATGCAGGGGCAGTGATGAGCCAAACCTCTGGAATGGCTTTGTGGTCCAGCCTCTTTATTTGCTTTTGTAAGTTCACATTCTGCCACCTCCACCCCAGTTATGCCTATGGAGTTGTTAGATGCTACCAAGCACCCTGTATGTGCCATGCACTGAGGATATGGCCGTGAGCCCTGTGGGCTTGCTTGGGGGTCACATAGTAGGTGTAACCGAGGTTTGGAGCCGGGTCTGACTCTTCTGCTGCACCAGGCCCTTCCCTCTGATCCATCAGACCAAGTAAAGGGGACAGGACTAGTGTGTCCACCTTGAGACCTAGTATTTCCTACCTGCCTCCCTGCCTCCTAAGAAAAAGTCAAAGCAATAGTTAACCTTCAGCTGATGAGGGGTATGTCCTTTTCTAAACTCTGCTGTGACCTTGTTGCTTTTTAGATTTTGAAGATAAGCAAAGGCTTGAGTGTAAGACCCTGAACCCCTCTCCCTCCTTGCTCCTAGCTTATAGGCCAGGGTGAAAGAACAAGATTGTGACTAAATCATCTGTGCCTTGGGCTTTGCACAGAGTGGGTAGTGTGAAGGAGTGTTTGACCAGCACACAGTAGGTGCTCAGTGAAGATGGGTTGAGCACAAGGTATGCAGTGGGAGCTCAGCAGAAGTCTAGCTGCTGGAAGGAGTGGGGTGTGGATTGGGACCTCCACCACGCTCTTCCCCAGTGCTGCCTCTCATGCACTCACCAGACTCCCTGGTCCTAGTGCCCACCAGCTGCTGGAGTCCAGGGCGTCATCCTGGGGGCACATCTTGTCCTCATTTCCACGCTTGGCATTTGCTTGGTAGCTGACGTAGTTACAGCCCACGGCATCCTCCAGGCTGCCTGAAGCTCACTGGCCACTGGGCCCCTTGGGGAAGCAAAGGCTCCCCACCTGGCTCCTTTCTGCGCCCCACACTTTGGGCACTGAGATGGAGCTGAAAGCGTAAATCTCTCTGAAGGTGGTAGTGGTGGGGGGAAGCAGGGGGACTCAGCTCCTTGGAGAAGGGGTATCAGTTCCAGGCATAAAGGGGGCAGGGCAGGGATTGGGGATGCTCAAAGTACACTCGGTGAAAAAAACATTGGAAATTGGATGTTGAACCTCTGTCCTTGGCCTCACAGACACAGTTAGCAAAGATTAAATATTTGTGCTAGATCCAGATAAAGGATAGGGATCGGAGTTTGGCTGGGTGGAGGGGAGGGAAGAGAACTGGCAATTATGGAGGGCCTCCCCAAGCCAGCCCTGGGCTGGCCTCTTGAGATACCTCATTTGGTTTCCAGAATGACCCTGTGGGGGAGACATCATTCCGTTGTGTATATATAGAAACTGGGGCGCAGGGAAGCATGTGAACAGCCCAGAGTTACAAAGCAATTGTGTGGTGGGGCTGGGATCTGAACCTCTCTGGTTCTGTGGCCTACACTCCTCTCACACTAGAGGATGGTATTGGGGACCCTGAGGCTGGAGGGGAGGGTGACAGTAGGCTGACATCTCCCTTCTGCTGCAGGCACTGGCTCCAGCATCCTCTCTGCCCTCCAGGACCTCTTCTCCATCACCTGGCTCAATAGGTCCAAGGTGGAAAAGCAGCTACAGGTCATCTCAGTGCTACAATGGGTCCTGTCCTTCCTTGTGCTGGGTAAGCTGGGGATTCAAGGGAGGGAGGGTGGGCGGGCAGGCAGGGGCCACCTCCCCAACAGAGGTTACAGCAGGAGGTGAGTGGGTAAGAGCAGCCCTTACACTGGCTGCCCACAGCCTCCCCCCACTTACTCCCACCTTTTGGGTCCCAGAGTGAGTGCTCTACCCCCAGGCCTGAGGACTCAGCGAGAGTCAGTGGGACGTGGTGGTATGGGTCCCATTTACAGATGTGAAAACTCAGGTCTTAGAGAAGGTAAGTGACTCGGCCAAGGTTATGCAGCTTTGAATCCAGGTCTGTAGGATCCCTGGAGCCTGTGCGTTCCCACAGTGGTACTTGCCCCCCAACAGACATTTTCCGGCAGGTATGCTGTTTTGCCTTAGGGTGGTATGCTGCCAGGTAGTTTTTAATCTACTGCAAACAAGCTCTCTGACCTTACATAGGTTATTTGCGCTCTCTGAACGTTAGTGTCCTCATCTCGAGTGTGAGGAAAATGCCTCCTTCACACGGCTTTTGTAGAGACTGAAGATAGGGAATGAGAGCAGCTGGCACAGGACCTGGTGGCGCTGGCCCCATTACATGGGTGGTGCCCACCCCAGCCCTCACCCACCTGTGCGGAGCACATTCCCCAGCTGCTTCCCAAGGCCCACTCCCTTCTGTCTCTCAGCACTGCCCACGCCTGTGCTCTGCTGCTTTTTCTACAGGTCTGGCTTGGTGGCAGATCCCTGGCGAGGTAGCAATCCAGTCACTCCTTGGATTGCCACCCTGGCTAGGGTCAAGATGAGAAGGATTGTTTGGGAGGAGGGAAGGGTCCGTGCCTGGGCCACCCCTCGCTCTCCTAGATGCCTCTTCTGCTTCCCCACGTCCCTGTGTCCTCAGCATAGCAAGTAGCCTCAGCACGTCAGGAACGACAAGCATCATAGTGTGCACATCAGTTCCTGTGAGCGAATCCCTCTGCACGGCCCACTCTTGTGCCCTGGATAGTCTGGTAGGGGACTGTCAGGGTACCTTGTCAGTGCTGAGCAGCCATCCTTCCCATAGGCACCTGGGGGGCTCTGAGACTTCATTTGCAGGGCAGAGGGATGGGACAAGGGTTCTGTTTATCAAACTCCTTAAGTCCCCACTTCACAGGTGAGGAAATGGAAACTCCCAGAAGTCACTGATTGCCTGAGACTGTGGAGCCCATTAAATGGCAGAGCTGGGATTTGAGCAGAGCCCAGCGCACTCCCTAGGGAGCCCACCTCACTGGAATACCAGAATTAGTGGACCTGGGCTGAAACAGCCAGTCTTCTCTTTAGGCCCAAGGGGGCCTTGAGGGGTCTGTGAACCCCTAAAATTAAATGCAAACAATATAAGGCTATATGTACATTTTCCTGGAGAGAAGGGCCATGGGGGTCCTCAGATTCTTTTAGGGTCATACAGCCTTAAAAAGACAAAGAGACACTGGTTTAAGGAACAGAGCAAATGAAACTGGCTCCCTCAAACCCCCAGCTTGGCTTACATTGGGCCACTTACTAGGATCCTGGAGTAGAGAGCACAGGTAACCCCATCGTTGTTCAAATAGGAAGCAGAACAGTGGGGGCAGAGCCTTGTTCAGGGTCACATGAAGTGAAGAAAATAATGGGACCAGGACAAGAACCCAGGGACTTCAGCCCCCAGACCCCTGGTCTGCTATGCCAGCTCCCTTTGTTCCCAGTTGAACCCAGCAGCCACGGTCCCTGCCTTGGTGGCTCAGGGTTTGGCTGGTGGAGAGCCAAGCAGCTTGTGGAACCACAGCCCAGAAACCAGCCCAGCGTCTTTTCCACGCCCTGGTGTGGGCGGGAGCCAGGCCTGGTGGGACAAGCAGGTCTGCCAGCCGCTGCTAATTGTTGCCTGAGTGCCCGGCTGCTCCCGCCCTCTGCCCCTCACACCGAGGGCACAGGCTCACCTGCTGGTGCAGAGCTCCCTGCCCTCATCCAGCGCCCTTTGCACTACAGGTTTCTCGCCATTTTTGTGCCGTGGAGCCCTCTGGCATTCCGATGAAGGCTATGCCCCTTCTGGGGGTTTTCAAATGTGTCATACAAAGTACGTCAGATTTCCAAGGAAACAGAGGATATTGAAATATTAATACGCATTAGAAAACCTAATCAGACATAGTAACATGTGCTTTTTTATTATATTAAATAAAAAGATCTAGCAGTGGTTATAATAATTCCTATAATTCTTTTTTTTTTTATAATTATTTTAGATTTGGCATTTTCTTTTCTTTCTTTCTTTCTTTTTTTTTTTTGAGACAGAGTCTCACTCTGTTGCCCGGGCTAGAGTGCTGTGGCGTCAGCCTAGCTCACAGCAACCTCAAACTCCTAGGCTCAAGAGATACTCCTGCCTCAGCCTCCTGAGTAGCTGGGACTACAGGCATGTGACACCATACCCAGCTAATTTTTTCTATATATATTAGTTGGCCAATTAATTTCTTTCTCTTTTTAGTAGAGATGGAGTCTCGCTCTTGCTCAGGCTAGTTTTGAACTCCTGACTTTGAGCGATCATCCTACCTCTGCCTCCCAGAGTGCTAGGATTATAGGCGTGAGCCACCACGCCCGGCCAATTCCTGTAGTTCTTAAGTAATGATGAGAATAAATGATTTTTCAAGGTATTTGCAAGTGCTATAATGTGACATGAAAACCTTTGTTATCTATTGGTGTCATGTCAACAGATATTCCTAATACTTCTGTGGTGCACTTACATTCATAAGTGATGGAAGTGCTAAATTTCCATAAGAGATGAATGAAAAGTTAGATGTCATTTGTTTCCCAATCCAAGTCCCTAGACACTTACTGTGTGCCAGGCTTTGTGTTAAGTTCTAACATCATCATTTAATTTTCCCAACACCCTGTAAGGAAATTAAGGGATGGGGCATGGCCAGTAAGTGGCAGGGCCAAGGCTGCAAGTCTGTTTGTCCCAGAATCCATGCTGTCTTAATGGGCCAAACTGTGGCCTTCCCTGCCCCTAAGCATCCACAGACTGCCCCGCACCACAGGCCTCGGGCTCCAGAGTTTTGTATCCTGAGCTTCTTTGTGGGCCACAGTGATATGTGGGGAGAGGGTGACGTGTGAAGGTGGTCCCAACCCTTCCACTTGTGGAGCAAGTGAGGCTTTTAAGCACATTGCTTACGTCTCATGGACTCAGCCGCATTGGTTCCTGCTGCAGCCCCATGACCTGAGAGGGTAGAACCAGGAGCCTATGTTCCTAGGACAGGGGTTAGGCTCTGAGAGAGGAAGGTCTTTTGGTGGGTTTAGTCCACCTTTTGCTCAATAAACCTTTCCTGCGTTGGTTGCTGGGGCTGGAGAGATTGATCTGGAGCCAGGGGCTGAGGGGCTCTTTGCCGGAAGCCATCTACCTGGGGAGGCAGAGGTTGGTGAGAGATAAGAGGAGTAGTGTCAGAGGGGGCTGTGGTCGCACAGGGCTGGGGCGTGGGCCCCCAGCTGAGGAAGGCTGGGACTAGAATGCAGCCTCTGGACTCCCAGGCATATCTCTTCTCCATCCAGGCTGCCTTAGCTGCAGAGCAAGGACAGGTGAGTAGGGATACACACCCTCCCAGAGAGACCAGCTTCTAGGGCGTGGTGTTTGGGGCTCAGCCGCCCCTGGTCCCTCCACCGCTTGAGAGAGTTAAGGGCTTACTCATAGTCAGGTTTCCAGGCTGCAAAGACCCTCGCCTGTTCAAACCTCACAGGCCCTGCCCAGGCCCACCTGGAGCATCCACCTAGCTGTTCAGGAGCTTGGGTACCTGTGAACTCCAGGAGGCTAGAGTGGTCCCTTTTCCAGGCCTAATAAAGAGAACTTGTGGCAAACTGCTACACGGTATAACTTTGAGCAGCCTTCACTTAGACATAGCTATTCACCAAGCTGCCTTCAAGAGTTCACAGCTTGCCTTTAACAGGGTCTCATAGCTTGCAAACACTTCCCTAGAGACTCATCTTCCTTATCTGTGATGCCACACTCCTAAGCTGGTCCTGAAAATCTGGATACTCTGTGTTTACTGCCATTCCCCAGAGAGTTGCCCTGTTTTTAGCCATCCTGGGGAGGGACTGGCTGTGGAGTCTAGAATAGGACTGGACTGGGGGCAATGGGGGGGGGCACCGTTTCCCTGCCCTTAGACTCATGGAGAGTCTGCATCTGTCCTCATCCTCTCTCGAGGGAAAGCGGAGGAGGCTCAGAGTGGTGGAAGGAACAGAGCACAGCATCCCTGCAGCACTGTGACCAGCTCCCGCCCCGGAGAGGGTGGGCACATGGCAAGGGTTGACCTGCCACCCTGGGCAGGGGAGGGGGCACTGGAAGGAGGCCTCTGCCTGGCATGGATACCTGCTGCCTGCTGGCCTTGTGCTGAGTGCCAAGGGGCAAAGAAATGGGCCTGCCTAGTGTGGGGAGTTCAAGGTGAGAGATCCATGTATGGATAGTATGATATTGGGAACACTTCTTGAAGAGATGAGGTCTGAGCTAGGCTTTAGAGGCTGGGAGAGAATAGGAAAGAGGAGGGCACCTAGGGGTGAACTGTGAGATAAACCAGGCTTGGCACGAGCTTCCCTTCCCTTCTGTGCTAGGTTATTCCATCTATGGCCAGTGGGCCCACAACAGGGTCACCCATGGAAGCTGGCCTCCGGTCTTTCAAGTGACACTCTGGGGAGGTTGATAAGCTATCAGCTTTGGCCTGGGACTCCTGGCCCTCTGTTTATGTTGGAAGGGGCCAGCACTCCTCCTGAGGCAGGAATCCCCTCTGTCAGGCCCCTCCATTAGCAGTCCTGGACTTCTCATTTTTGGTGACCTTCTAAAGCCTAATCAAGAGTATGGACTTTACAGTCAGACCTGAATTTGAATCCTGCCTCTGCCACTGTCCTGCCAGGTGACCTTAGATAAGTTACTTCCCCCTTGAGCCTCAGTGTTCTCATCTCTCAAATGGGGTAAAAGTCACCCTGCCTCAGCCCTGAGATGCACAGACACTTGGTGGCTGTTCCTTCCCCTTATCTACAGCAGTTGTGCTGGGCATAGGGTGTAAGTGGAGCATACAAGAGGGGACAGTAAGAACAGTTTCACAAGAAGCCAAAGCCTACCTCCCCTGGCGCTACTGCCCAGATAGCATGGGGCCCGTATGGCCCTCAGTACCGCAACAGCCCATCAGACAGGTGACGCTTGTGTCCCCTGAGACTGCTCCCCCCAGGCCCAGTGTCCCCTTAGCCACTTCTCAGGGGCTGTAGGCCCCCACGCCCATGGCTCCAGCTGTGCCTAGCTTAGTGCCACAGTATACGCTTACTCCACCATTGCCCAGAGGGGAGATGGGGCCCATTCAGGGAGGACAGGGCTAACATGTGGCCATCTGCCTCCCACCAGGAGTGGCCTGCAGCGTCATCCTCATGTACACATTCTGCACTGACTGCTGGCTTATCGCCGTGCTCTACTTCACCTGGCTGGTGTTTGACTGGAACACGCCCAAGAAAGGTGAGCACGCAGGCCTCCTTTGCCTACTCCCTCGCTGTTCCCTCCTGCACGAGTTAAAGTTCATATCATGTGCATTGTTTCCTTTAACTGAACACCTACTTTGTGAAGAGCATTGGTTGGCCCAGTGTGTGGTTTTGGGTGCTGGGTTAAAAGCTCCTTGAAGTGCACCATTCTGGTCCTTGTGGGAGCTTACAGTCCATCAAGGTTTGCATAACACAAGGGAACGATGTGGAAGTGGCCCACTGGGAAGGGGGCAAAGACGCCGCTGGGAGTGATAGTCACCTGTCTTGGGGTTTCAAACTGGCCCTGTCTTGTCTGCCTTGCCCAAATATCCAATCACCCCCGCTTCTTCCCAACACCGTACTTTCTTCCCTGAAAGGTGGCAGGAGGTCGCAGTGGGTCCGAAACTGGGCTGTGTGGCGCTACTTTCGAGACTACTTTCCCATCCAGGTAAAGTGTGGTGGGTGTTATCTTGGGAGGGTGGGAATGGATGGGAAATATGAACTCAGGCCTTAACCCACCCACTCACAGTGACTGTGAGTGCTGAGTTGAACCATGTGGGATCTCCCATATGAGCATCTGTTCATACCATACCCTGTTTTATGCAGGATTTGAGGCAACTTAGGATACATATGATGCCATACCAGGTAAAGAGAAAAATCAAGACTTAGGGGAGGACATACTAGTATTTCAGCCAGAAGAGTCAATGAAGTTGCTACAGTTGAGCTTCATAGTCATCTCTGAGCTTACTGGCAGCCAAGGAAAAAAGGGAAACACAATAGTTGTTAGGTTTTTGTTCTGGGAGAGGAAGAAGCGTATTGATTCTTTGGGGAAACAAGACTTGTTCTAGGATTTGGATCTAAAAGATGTTACAAACACTGAGCCTGAGTGATGTCAGGAGCAGGTATCATAGTACTTGTAATGGCCATTGCATGTCTGTTTCAGTGAATATTAAGGGCATAACTTAAAATGGAGGTGATTTATCAAGAGCAATACTAAAGTAGTCCATGTTTATCGGCCCTGAACCAGGGATAGAACTTAAAACAGTAAGTGTAAGTGGCTTTCTTTCCTCCCAAAGGTCTTAGAGAAATATCACTTCTCTTAGCCAGTTGCCGGGGGTCATGGCTGTGTGGGTAAGGGCCCAGGTAATTTGAAGTGCAGTGAAAGAAGGGGGAGACCCTGGGAACTGAAGGGGTTGGGGAAGGTTCCTGGAGGAGGTGGTCCTAGAACTGCGCCTTAAAGGATGCGTAGCGCTGAGGAGGCAGGGACAACGGTGGAGCACAGGCACCCGCATGTGAGAAGCCTTGGGTAGAGAAGATGATGAGGAGGCAGAGAGAAGAGGGAGAATATCCATTTATCGGGGGCCTTCCAGGAGCCAGCACCTTTCCCCAGGGGGTCTCCTCTGACTCTCACAGCACGCTATAAGGTAGGCATTAGCTTTATCCCTTTTTTACAGAAGAGGAAACTGAGGCTCAGAGAGTAGCAAAGCTGAGTGGAACTGGTGACTGGTTGAACTGAGATTCCAGTTGTCCTGCCTCCAAGCCTGGGCTCTTCCCACCACAGCACGCTGCCTTTCTGTGCGGCAGAGCTGCAGGAATAAACTTGGGCAGATATTCAGGCTTCCCATGGGCTTGGAGGATTGAGACAGGAAAAGCCCAGTATGACCCTGGATGAGATGCTGTCCCTTCCAGGGCACGGCCTCCCCGTGTGAAGCGAGTTTAGACCAGGCCAGTCTTTGGGTTTCCTTCCTGCTGCACCAGTGACCACTCTAGGACCCTACACTGCTCTTCTGAGCACCGTCTTCTCTGGGGCCAACCCTGAGGTCCTGACGGGAAAACTGGTGGCTCAGTGTGGCTTTCTGTCCCAGCTCTGTCTGGCCCCTGCCTGGTCTGCAAGCTGGACCGGGAAGCCAGAGCCATCTGGGCCCGGATGCGTGGGAGCGATGCTGGTGGAGTGTGGACAGCTCTGGCAGAATCTTGAGGTTTTCCCTGAAGGGGAAGGACCCGTCTGTCCGGCTCACTCTGCACCGCAGCCCTGGCACACCCTGGCTGCTGGCGCGGCCGAGCAGAAGGCAGCAGGGCTGTGGAGCGGCCTCAGCGCATGAGTGTGAAAGTGCTCTGTGCGTGACGCAGTGAGGTGTACCTTTGCTGTGGTGAGTCAGAGACAGGCATCCCTGCTGCTGCCCGGGGGCTGTGCCTGCGTAACCTTGCTTTCCTCCCCTGCACCTGGCATGGCGCGGGTGGCCCAGGGCCAGCTCCTCCTTCCCACCAGCAGCCTAAAGCCAGTTTTCCCAGGACCTTCCTGCTCCTTGGGGTCAGGGTTTCTTCTCTTTTCCTGATCCCATCTCTCTGGCTGCAAAAAATATGAGGCCATTGTTGCTGGGAGGAAGTTGCATCATAGGCTCCAACACTCTCATTTTGGAGGTAAGGAAACTCCATCCAAAAGAGGGTCAAGAGCTTGTCCAGGCTGCACAGTCTAGCGCAGTGGCAGCGGCAGTCCTGGAATCCAGGCTTCCTGAATCCGAGACCCAGGTTCTCTTCCCCTGAATTCCTACTGCTCGTTTCTCTGGGAGATTCAATCTCCGGATTTCCCCATTGGATTGATTCCAACTTCCTGGGTCTCCCTCTCCCGGCTTTGTTGTTGGACACCTGGGTGTAAGTTCCTGCTCTGTCACTCTATGAACTGACCTCCCATCTTGCTCCTTGTCCTCCGTGCTGGGCATGAGGAGACAGAAGAGCCTGCCCTGGTCCCTGCCCTTGGGGTGGGCTCCCTGTCTAGAGAATCCTGCTAGACTTTGTCACTTTCTGCCCGTGGGACCATGGCAGACTTTCTCAAGCTTGGTGAGCCTCATTTGCCTCATCTGCAAAATGGAGCTGTTCATGTGATAAATTATGGTTGGGTGTGAGAGTGATTATAGATTCTGTTCTCTCTGCTTTTTCTCTGTCACCTCAGGGGCCAGGCCTCAGTGATCTCTCTTGCCACTGGGGCCTGGGCCTCAGACAACCCCTTGGAGGCCAGTAGCTCCTTCACCAAGAACAGGATGACCTGATGACCTTTGGTTAAGCCTGAGACAGGCAGGCATCCTTCCCCACCTGATCTTCACCTTCCAAAAGAACCAAACCAGGCCCCTGTATCCTCACCACATCTCTGTTCCCAGAGTCGGCTAGGAGTTGGAGCCACAGGGCACATGCAGGCTGGCCCTGTGAAGGCTCCTAGGCACCAGCCGCAGACCCAGGCTGGGCCTGAGGCAGGCTGGAGTGTTGGGCCTCAGTTTGAGGCCCAGGCTGGGCTCTGCCTCTGCCCCTCGGGGCCTCAGGCTTCCCTTCTGTGCAGGGATTTGTCCTCGGTGATCTGATGTCAGGTCTGACGCTCTACAGGGTTGTGTGTGACCCTTCTGCCCCAGCCCCTTTTCCTGGCCTCCTGCCAATGATTGTGTCATGAGGATCTCAGCTGTAACCCCCAGCCCTCCCACTCCCCTCTCCGCCGGGCTCTTTGCCACCAGAGCAGCTCAGCTGGCCACAGAGCATCCCTTCTCCTGGCAGACGTGGGGCTCACGTGTTAGCAACAGCCACCAAGACTACCGGCTGCCTGGAAGAGGAGTGGGCAGTGCCCTGGTCACTCTCCCTGAGGCATAGGCAGGATCTTTGGAGAGGAGACTAGGAAAGACCCTCTGAGCTTAGAGTCCTCTATCTCTCCGCCTGCCTCATTTACAGATGAGCAGACTGCAGCCCAGAGCAGAGGGACCGTCCAAGGTCACAAAGCTCAAGTCAGTAGCAGGGCAGGTGTAAGAACCAGGCTGTCTGCTTCAGGGCCCATGTTCTTACTGTTCTCCTGTGTTCCTCTGCCCCTGTGCCCTGCTGGGTAAGCCTGGGAGAGTCCCTGCTGCTCTCTGGGCCTGACTTTCTTCCTCTGTGTGGTGCTGCGGTGGAATAAGCCTACTGAGCACCTTTCCTGTCCTAGGAGATGGTGTGAGGAATGGCTTGCCAGGAACGTGTCCCAGACTCATGTTAGCCAGCAGGCCTGGCCTGGCACCCCATTGGGCTGGGACTTTGCCACAGGAGATAGGGGACACAAGAACAGGCATGTCAACAGAGCCTTGTTGGACATTCTGTCCAGCCCTTGGGGGAGGGGTGTGACGTGAAAACAGGTCAAAGCTGCGTCAGATGCCTACATCCTTCTGGGTACTGCACCAGGGGCCATTAACCTGCACGTGCCCCACAGCACCTCATGTAACCAAATGTCTCATCAGATAGAGCCTTGAAGAGGGAGATCATTTAAAGAGCTGGCTAGGGTCCCACCAGGTGTCATATCTCCATCCCGGCAGCCCAGGGAAAAGCACAGCTGGGTGGCCTGGTCCAGATGTGGAGGATGACTGTCTGTGACCTCCGTGGGAAGCAGCAGCTCCTTTCTCCAGGCTGCAGTCCCCCGGTGTCATCCAAGGAGTGGCCTAGATCTTTCAGGGCTCTGCCAGCCCATTCTGTGCGTTGGGCTCCTGGTCATCAGACAGGCCTGGGCCCAGCTGTCAGGAGCAGGTTTCCAGTCTGGTGCTGGCGGCCTCGCCCTCATCCCAATGCCTTCCTTTTTTATGGAAACGGGCACAAGGTGCTTTTAAATTCTAGCTCTACTGAGAGCCAACTTGGTGGGCAGTCCTGCTCTTTAGGAGGCAAAACATCAGATCAACAATCTTGCAAAGCTCACGTAAAACCGACTTTTAGATCCCCTCACTGCCCCTGCCCCCACCAGCTGGGGTGAGGCTGTGCTGTTCACCATTTATGTGGAGGACAGCTGGGTTTTCGAGCCGCTTTAATCTGCTTGCCAAAGGCAGCGTGGGGGAAGGAGTACAAATGTCCCATGCAGTAGTGGCTGAGATGGAGGGACCCTTGCTCACGTTTACACAGATGGGCAGTCCCAGAGCTGGGAATGGTGTCAGGCACCCCGTTCTGTCTCCCTCAGGCCTCTGTCGTCTGAAGATGTGGATTTCAGTTTTCCAAGGCCGGCCACAAGCACCCTCTCCCCTGAAACTGCCCACGAGGTCCCTCACTCAGCCAGGAGGTCCCCAGGCCTACAGTCATAGAAAACCCAGGCTCTTGATCCTCTGCCAGTGGCCAGTGACTCTGCTTCCAACTGGGCCAGGGCAGGAAAGGGGCACTCCCAGCACTCTGGTGGAAATGTTATTGACGCCACCTCTCTTGAGACTAGGCAGCCCAAAAGACCACCATGTTCATGTCCTTTCACCCAGGAATTGTATTTCTAGAAGTTTGTTTTATGAAGACAATCAGATATGTGGACAAAGAAAAGGTATTTATTGAAGTATTATTTCTAAGAGGGAATATTTGGAAGCTTTTAAAATGTCCAGCAGTGGGGGTTTGAGTCAGTGCCATTCCACGTAGCACAGCTGTGTGATAGAATACTGATGTTGCTGTGAGAAGACATGTAACTGAGGGACTTTGGGACAAGTAGGGACTTTGGGACAAGGACAAGTAGCTATGATACATTCGGTAGAAAATGATATAAAAATGTTGCCAACCATCTAACCTCAATATTGTGGCTTTTGAAAAAGAGCATGTATATAGTTGAGTAGAGAAAAGACCCAGTGTGTCAGAGTATTTTATCTGGGCGGAGGCATTACAGGTGTTTTTGATTTTCTTTTTACTTTCCCATATTTTTAAAATTCTTCATAAGTATTTATTATTTTTCTGATCAGAAAAAAAGTGCTGTTTTACGAACAAAATACCCTTCCTCTCCAATCCTCTCAGCACCCTCCACCCTCATCATGTTCCTTGTAATGCTGGGCAGGTGTCTCAGGCTCATGCTCGGCGTTTAGGAAAACTTTGCACTCCCCACCCCTCCATGCCACCAGTTGCAGGGCACGTGGTGGCCCCTGAGGAAGCCAGTCATTCGAGCGTCCCAGGACAGCTTTGTTGACAGTGCTACAGGTCAGGTCCTCAGCTGCTACAGCTGTACAGCTGACCTCCTCCTCACCCCCCTCCCCAGGCTGGCTGGCACAAGGGCTGTCAATTGCCATGTCCTCCTGTCCTTCCTGACTCAGAACCTGAGCTGAACCCGACTGGCTGGCAGGAAGTTTCCATGCAGGCCTGCTGCACTGTCCCTTCTCTGGCCCAGGGGAGTAGGAGGAGGGCTGCGTGGCTCATGCTGTGAGCTGTCGTCAGCCCTCAGGCCACAGAGCTAGGTAGAGTTTACCTCCAGGGAGCTCACAGGGTAGGGAGACTGACGGTGGCTATAGAGCTTGCAGCCAAGGCCCCAGTTGCCAAACTCAGGAACTTGGACTGACCCTGATGGAAAGCTGGATACCCTCTTTAATCTGAGAGTGAAGGGGTTGGATTTGGGTTTTAGGAGTCAGTCTGGCTGTGGCAAGGAGGATGGGCCCAGAGGGAGGGAAGGCAGGAGGCTGGCAGAGTGCGTATAAGAAGAGCTGGTGTGTGCTTGGCTGGGAAATAAAGGAGTGAGAGAGAAAAGTCCCCACCCCTTCCCAGGGACTCAAAGTCCAAATGATGACTGGCAAGCACAAGCATTGTGACCCCGTGATGGGAGTCTCAGATCACATGTGGAGAGTCACTGCAGTCCTTCAGGCCCACAGAATCCCAGGGGACCTGACATGTCCAGTCCCTCCCCTACCTTCTGGGCATGCCCCAGGACTGCCCTCTCCTAGCCAGTTTCCTTTGACCCAGAGTTTTCCTTGCAGCTGGTGAAGACACACAACCTGCTGACCACCAGGAACTATATCTTTGGATACCACCCTCATGGCATCATGGGCCTGGGTGCCTTCTGCAACTTCAGCACAGAGGCCACAGAAGTGAGCAAGAAGTTCCCCGGCATAAGGCCTTACCTGGCCACACTGGCTGGCAACTTCCGGATGCCAGTGCTGAGGGAGTACCTGATGTCTGGAGGTGAGAATCCACCTCTGCCTACCCCTGCTGGGTGCCATTGTCAAGGCCTGAGCCTCTCCCATCAAGCAGGGTGATGCAGGGAGCCAACATGCCCTTCCCTGGTGCTGGTCCTGCACTGGGAGGTGTGACCTACTGCAGACACTGTGGGTCAAGGCTGAGCAGGAAGCCTGCTCATGCAGTCTTCAGAATTCAACCTGGATAGCATCTTGCCAAGGAAGCCTTCTCTGACCCCTTTTCTGGGCACCATTAGCCCTTGTGTTGCTCTCCACACAACCTGATTGTTGTTCATGGCACTGTCATTGTCCACTGCCTGTGACCTCCCACCAGCTTGATTCACTGGGATCCCCAGCACCTAGCACCAGCCTGGTTGATTTAGGAACTCAGGGAATGTTTGCCAAATAAATGAACTTCAATACAACTTTGTGTCATTACCCTAATCTTAGATAAGTAAGCTGAGGCTCAGAAAAATGAGTAGCTGAGGCAGGACCAGACAACTTCAGAGGGGCTGGGTTAGGTCTGGGGCCCAAGTCCAGGGTTCTTTCTGTCGTACACTTGACCGTGTGCAGGGGGTGGAGAGTGCCTCTGTGGGCAACCCTGACTGTCATTCTCTCCCTGCCAGGCATCTGCCCTGTCAACCGGGACACCATAGACTACTTGCTCTCAAAGAACGGGAGTGGCAATGCCGTCATCATCGTGGTGGGGGGTGCAGCTGAGTCCCTGAGCTCCATGCCTGGCAAGAATGCTGTCAACCTGCGGAACCGCAAGGGCTTTGTGAAACTGGCCCTGCGCCACGGGTAAGTGCCTCCCTACATACGCCCCTCCAGTGCTTTCCTCAGCCCAGGGCGGCAGGACCCATGGCCGCTGAAGGCAGGGCCTAGACCCTGGGAAGGCCTAGAAGGGGTCTGTCATAGTGTCAGGGAGGGGAAGTTGGAGCCCAGATGGCAGTCTGGACCTAGTTTGCCCATGTGTAGGCTGGGTGTCCTGGTGGGACAGAGATGCAGCCTGTGGCCCACGTCCTTGCAGGTGGGCTGAGAGGCAGGCTCACATGTGGCACTGTGTAAAGACTTGCTACTTGGGGCCAAAATGTGTCATGCTGTTAGGAGAGCAAGAGAACAGTGAGGAGGCTGGCATGGCTGGAAACAGCAGTGAGGGCTTTGGGAGAGGTCACCCTGAGGACAGGAGGAGAGGTGCTGGGTGGCTCGGCTTTCTGTGACCCTTTCTAGAAAACCAGGGGCACATTCTATTTAGCCAGCTGTTCAGCACATTCTATTTGACAAAGTATATTCGCTCTACAGTCCCCTTCTGTACCCTAGCAACCCAGCAGGTGATGACATCCCCGTTTCCCACTGGAGAAAACTGAGTGAGGCTAAGTGACCTGGTCAGGGATACATTGTGAGGTACAGAGCCAAGCTGTTTGGACTTGAGGGCTGCCGCTGTCTTCCATGTGTGAGCAGCAGGGTTCTGGGGTGACAGACCTCTAGCAGTGCCACGGGTCAGAGTGGGAGAGGTGCAGCGGGCAGTTACACAAGTTCGAGAAGGCTCTGAGCTGTACCAGCCAGGCCCCACACAGCCTGGAATGTGGCTGCAGGACAGCAGCTCTCTTCTCTGTCCCCTCAGGACCTTACATCAGGCTTTGGGAGAAGAGGCTACTCTGTAGGGTTTGGCCCTGGGCCAGCCCTTGGGGACACACTCACATCAGATCCAGTCTCTACCCTCAGGGAGCACCAAGGGTGGGGTAGGGAGAGGGACAAATAGTGACAACATAGTTTACCGAGACTGTGGGGGTGGGATGGGGGTTGTGAGTCCAGGGCTGAGAGTGGCCTGGGCTGGGGGTGGGACAGGGAGAACGTCCCCACGGAGGCAGGCCCTGAGGGAGGAGGATAAAGAGCAGGAATTCCAGAGCAGGGCACTCAGCCTTCCCTTTGTCTGAGGTCCTAGCCCAGATGTGCTCCCCAGTCACTAGCAGGTGGGCAGAACTGGGTAGTGAAGGGGACATGTGAGCTTGGCTCCCCTGGGTGATTCTGGTACCCTCCGGGGGGGGGGGAGCTTGACTGGTGTCCAGGCCCTTTAGGGCCGACTGTAGGAACTGAAACCAGTAATTAGGCTGACACACCCTGCCTTCTCCCTTCCAGAGCTGACCTGGTTCCCACCTACTCCTTTGGGGAGAATGAGGTGTACAAGCAGGTGATCTTCCAGGAGGGCTCCTGGGGCCGATGGGTCCAGAAGAAGTTCCAGAAGTACATCGGCTTCGCCCCATGCATCTTCCATGGCCGAGGCTTCTTCTCCTCTGACACCTGGGGGCTGGTGCCCTACTCCAAGCCTATCACCACTGTTGGTGAGCCCCCAGCCCAAGGGCTGTCCTGAACCAGGACGCCACACAGCTAGTGGGTGGTAGAGACAGGATTCCAGCGTGGGCCTGGCTCTGACAGCCATGCTTTGAGCCATGAGGACTTTGACGTATTGGGTGCTGATGGGAGTGATCAGCAGGGATGGGGTGGGGTGGGGGAATAGGGCCTCTGCTATGAACCAAGCACTGTGACAGGTGAGAAAACAAGACCCTCAGTCTCTGGGTTTGCAGTGCCCATGTGTCTACAGGGAAGATGGTATTGCAGCAAGGACCAAGGGGAGAAATGATGAGGATGTGTGGGTGCTCTCAGCGTCATGGTGGACTCCAGGGAGGAGGTGACTCTTACATTGCTAAATGATAGGAATTATCCAGCCAAAGAGAGGAGCGGGAGAGTTTCTGTCAGAAACAATAGCCAAAATAAAGTTCCAGAAACAAGATTGTGTAAATTTTTGAAGAATGGAAATAAAACATAAACATGACTACAGCATAAGTATGGACAGAAGTATAGTCAAAAACTGGCTGCAGTTGGGCCTCAGCTGTGTTGTTTTTGGTGTATTTGGGACAGTTCAGAGGATTCCAAAGGATTACCTATTGCAGGTGTGTGCATGCGTGTGTGAACGAGTCACAAGCTAGAGATTCCGCAGGAGCATGTGGCCTTCACTTGAGGGGCTGAAGCTCATATGGATACTTTGCGTTCTCAGACCAGGTGTCTTTGTGCTTTTAGATGGGGACAAAGTAGCAGTGAGGCAGCAGGACCATTTCTGTGGGCAGGTGTGGCTGGGGCAGTGTCCTGTGGGCAGTGCGAAGGCCTTTGCTGTTCACCTGGAGAATGGGAAGCTGCTTGAGGGAGGAAGGTTCAGTTTTGTAATTGAAAGTGATCCTTGGGGCTACTGGATAGAAAATGGGTTAGAAGGGGCAGAAATGGAAGCTCCAAGACCAGTCCAGAGGCTTTGTGGTAGCCAGTGGCTTAGACGGAGAGAGGAGTAGGGGAGAAGAAAGAGGAGTGTGTGGATTTGGGAGAAATTTCGGACAGCATTGGCAGGGTTAGGGATGGACTGGGTACGGAGATGAAGCAGGCTAAGAAAATAAAACAGCTCACAGATGTACAAATGTTGGTCTCCTCCTCCCTTTCCCACCCTTCTGCACTGTTTAAAGTATGTCACATTACTCACAGAATCCTCAGAACAGCCCTTTGAGTAGGGATCCCCATGTGACAGATGAGGAAACTGAGGCCCAGAGAGGCAAAATGGCTTGCCCAGAGCAGAGCAAAAGCAAAGCTGTTTATTTGATCCCACAGCTCTCGCAGGAACTCATAATAGCAGAGTGCGGTGGTTTCAGTCAGCTTCGATCCCATCTGCTTAGCAGCTGTGTGTCCCTGGGCGGGGCTCTTCCCACGCCCCTGGGCCTCAGCATCTTCATCTGTGAAAGGGAACAGTTAGAGGCGAAGCACATAAAGCATTCAGCACAGTCCGTGACACATGGGGCCAGTAGCACAGGGTCACCACCATCAGCATCGTGGCGGGCGCCCAGGGTAACGGCAGTGACTAACCAGAGGCCTGTGCCCCGTTCCTGCAGTGGGCGAGCCCATCACCATCCCCAAGCTGGAGCACCCGACCCAGCAGGACATCGACCTGTACCACGCCATGTACATGGAGGCCCTGGTGAAGCTCTTCGACAACCACAAGACCAAGTTCGGCCTCCCGGAGACTGAGGTCCTGGAGGTGAACTGAGCCAGCCCTCCGGGGGCCACCTCCCGGGAGGAACCAGCTGCGAATCGTTTTCTACCAAGTTCTCGAGTGCTTTTTGTTCTGTAAATTTGGAAGCGTCATGGGTGTCTGTGGGTTATTTAAAAGAAATTATAATAATTTTGTTAAACCATTACCATGTTAGGTCTTTTTTAAGAAAGAAATAGTCAATATTTCAAGCTCTTTTCACTTCCAGTTTGTCCTGTTCTAGGTGGTGGCTAAATCTAGGTCTTTATGGTTTCTCGACCAACCCCTCTTCTTCCCTTCCTGAAATGACAGAGAAAAGTCAGTCCTGGTTGATTGGGGAAGAAGGACAGCCGTTAGTGACTCAGGCCAGTTTGATTATTCACTTTTTGCTCCTAGGGATGGGAGGCAGAAGCCGCTTCTAATCAAACACCTCTATCCCCGCACCCCATGCTTGACTGCGGGACTCGTCCCTCCTGCCAAGGGGAAGAGTCGGAGGGTATAGTTGCCCATTTTGTAGGGACAGTGGTGAGCAGCTGGAATGTTCTAGCTTGATGCTCCCTTCTGCCACCCTCGCCCCACCCCCAGTCTGTCAAACCCGAGCCTGGACAGCCTTCAGGATGAGACAGGGTGGCGGTGATGCAGTGCAGGCACAGGGCTGCTCCGGGTGCACTGTCTCTGGGATCGTCAGCCACCATGTTCTGGTTGGAGTGACTGGTTGTCCTCAAGAGGCTGATGACATGGACAAAGTGCAGACTCCAGGTTTGCCTGGATCACATGCTTCCCGGTGGCCTTGGTTTACCTAACCCATAGCCCCAAGTCTGGGTGTGAGGACGGGGTCCCCTTTCTGTGCACAGAGAGGCCTGGCCCCTCTGAGTGGCGGGTTGGTTCCAGGACATGCGGCCCCTGGCCCAAGCCTCACATATTGGTGCCTTTCTGAGGGGGTGGGGCCAGGGAGGAAACCCAGCGTCGCCTCTTTGTGTCCTATTTTCTCTTGATGAGATCATTGTACCATGTCAGACTTTTGTATGTGCCTGGACAAATAAATGGAAATGAGCAGCCTCTCTGAGTTGTTGTTGGGGCTACATCTGCACCTGCCACTTGGGGAAGACCACCGCCCCACTGGGCTGCCCGCCGAGGACTCTGCCCCTCATTCCTTTGGCCCATAGGGCCTCACTGTAGTGTGTCAGTTATCTATGGCTGGGTAACAGGTAATGTTGAAACTTAGTGGCTGCCAACAACTTTCGTAGGCTCAGAGTTCTTACAGTCAAGGGTTGAGGGTTGGCCAGGCGTGGTGGCTCATGCCTGTAATCCTAGCACTATGGGAGGCTGAGACGGGAGGATTGTTTGAGCTCAGGAGTTAGAGACCAGCCTGAGCAAGAGCGAGACCCCATCTCTACTAAAAAAATAGAAATTAGCCAGACAACTAAAAATATACTGAAAAAATTAGCCAGGCATGGTGGTGCATGCCTGTAGTCCCAGCTACTTGGGAGGCTGAGGCAGGAGGATCACTTGAGCTCAGGAGTTTGAGGTTGCTGTGAGCTAGGCTGACACCACGGTACTCTAGCCCGGACAACAGAGTGAGACTCTGTCTCAAAAAAAAGGGGGGGGGGTTTGAGGCTTAGCCTGGCCCTCTGGTCCTCTGCTCGGGGTCTCCCAAGCTGCAGTCGGGTGTTGGCTGGGCTGTGGGCATTTCAAAGCTCCCGCAAGGGAGGATCCACTTCAAGGTTGTTTCAGTGGTGGTTGGCAGGATTGGCCTCCTCACTGGCTGCTGGCCAGAGGCCACTTTCAGTTCCTTGCCACATGGGCCTTTCCCTAGAGTAGCTTATGGCATGGCAGCCAGCTTCAGAGAGTAGGTAAGAAGAGCCAGCATGCGAATAGAAGAGGGAAGTCACAGTCCTTTATAACCTAATCGTGGAAGTGATATCCCATCCCTTGTGCCATATTCTGTTCATTGCGTGCAAGTCACGAGGTCCAGCTCACACTGGAGGGTGGGGATTATACAGGGGAGTGGGTACCGGGAGGCAAGGGTCACTGGGAGCCACCTCACAGGGTGCCTGCCACATGGGGTAAAGGACTATCCAGCTGTAAGGCCCTGCTGAGCAGGAAGGCCCTTCTGGATCGACCCAGGTGTGTTCCCTGCCCTTGGCATCAGCGACACCAAAAAGGGCCCAGTTGTCACCCTAGTGATTACAGGATACCTCTCCTCCCTTTTCTAGTTCCCTTCAGTTCCATGAGTACGGAGCACTGGGGAACCCTTCCCAGCTGAGACCAAAGGCCCTCATTCCAACTTCCTTCCTGCCAAAATGCCTGTCCTGCCTGCCCTTGCCGTTCACCCGCCTGAGGGATGGTTGCACTGTGCCAGAAGTTGCAAGAGGCTGCTTGAGAGCAGAGACCAACACTGGAAACAGCCGAGGATACGCAGGCACCTCTCACCCCACGTGGGGCGCCTCACTGGAGAGATGATGCCTGAGCTGGGCCTGGAAGGGTGGCTGAAGTTTGCCAGGAAGGGAAGGAGTGACAACGGGCAGAGCAGTAGGTGCAAAGATGGAGGAGACTGGACTGAACGATGTTGCTGATTGGAATGAGGGAGAGGTGGTGGCAGAGGAGTCCGCAGTGGCACTTGCCTGGGGGTGGGGCAGGGAGTTGGTTCTCCAGAGTGTCTAGTGGGCAGGAGGCAGAGCAGTGAGAGAGAGTGCTCTGGAGGGGCCAACGGAGGCCGGATTCCGTAGTGCCAGGCGGGCCTCGGGCCGGAGAGCTCAGGTTGGACAGGCATGTCCTTTAGGATGGAGAAAAGGCCTGTTTGATGAGAGTCTCAGTCCCAGCCCAGCCACAGCCTAAGGCTGGCCCAGTGCTGGGTTGCAGCCTCAGTCTGGCTTCCAGCTTTGGACCAAGCTCTGGCCCTAACTGAGGCTACCCCACAAAGACCATTATTCTCAAACATCAATTTTGTGAACAGTGAACACCTGCTGTGTACTACGGAACTCAGCCATCTCTAGGGAGAACTGCGGTAGTAACCCAGGACAATGTCTCACAGCAGCCTGCCCAGAGCCGTCCCTGTGTGTGGGCGGCCCCAGGTAGATGCTGTGTGAGCTGTCCCAGAGCTCCCTTCAGCCAGAGCTCTGAAGCTGTGTGTGGGCGACTCCAGGTAGATGCTGTGAACATTGCCTTGGGTTGGGAGTTGTTAGTTACCTCGGGAGAGGGAACCTCCTTTACTCTGCCCTTGGGTGGAGGTGGTGGGGCTGCCGTCTCAGCCTGGATTGCCAATTCCACCATTCTGCTTGTGGTTCCTAGACATGGCCACAAGGGGGCACACTGAGGGTGGTTCTCAGGCAAATGCCACACAGCTTCCTAAACTTCCTTTTCCCACTTTGACCCTTATCCAGCGCCTACCCTGAGCAGCTACTAGCTGGAGTGTTTTACAGATAAAGATGTCCATGTGGTCAAGCTGGGTTATAGTGTTATTCAAATCTCCTGTTTCTCTGTTGCTAATCTGCCTAGTTGTTCTGCCCATCATGCAAATTGGGGTGTTGAATTCTCCAACTGTTGTTATTGAAGTGTTTCTTTCTCCCTCCCATTCTGTCAGTTTTTGCTTCACATTTTTTGAGATTCTGCTCTTAGGTGCTTACATGTTTATAATTGTTATCTCTTCCTGATACATTGACCCTTTTATCTTTATAAAATGCTCTTCTTTTAGTAACAATTTTTGTCTTGAAGTCTATTATGTGTAGCCTGTGTTAGTGTAGCCACCCAGTGCTCTTTTGGTTTTTATTTACGTGGAATATCTTTTCTGTCCTTTCCCTTCCAACCTATCTACTTGTGTTTTGAATATAAAGTGTGACTCCTGTAGACACAATAGTGTTGGATCTCTTTTTTAATGTCCACATTTCTACTCTCTGCCTTCTATTTTTTATTCTCTACATTTAATGTAATTACTTGCAAGGTAGGATTTACATCTGCCATTTTGCTGTTTGTTTTGTGTGTGTCTTATGTTTAGTTGTTGCTCTCCCTCCATTCCTGCCTTCTTTTGTGTTAAACATGTATTTTCTAATATATTATTTTAATTATCTTGTTTTTTGACTGTCTATTTTTTAATTATTAGTGGTTACCCCGGGGGTTACAATTAACATCTTAATTTAAAACAATCTAGCTCAGATTAACACCATATAATTTCTCCATCCTTTGGGCAGGGTGGCTTCAGAGAAAAGAGGGGCAGGCCACACATAGGAATGGTACAGTGGGTTGAATGGTGGCCCACAAATGATATGTACATGTCCTACCACCTGGAACCTGTGAATGTGACCTTATTTGGAAAAAGGGATCTTTGCAGATATAACTAAGTTAAGAGTCTCAAGATGAGGTAACACTGGATTACCGGGGTGGGCCCTATATCCAATGATAAGTATTCTTATAAGAGACAGGGACAAGGGGAGAAGTCCATGTGAAGATGAAGGCAGAGATTAGAGTTATACAGTCACAAGCCAAGGAAGCCACCAGAGGCTGGAATGAACAAAGGACTCTCCCCTAGTGCCATCTAAGGGAGTGCAGCCCTTCCAACACCTTAATTTTGGACTTCTGGCCTCCAGAACTGTGAGAAAATACATTTATGTTGTCTAAAGCCACCCAATTTGTGGTTTAATATAGTGACCTTTAATACTATTTTTACCACTTGATAGACAAGTTATACCACTGGTGGCAGGCTCTAGTCTTCTCACAAATCAGATATTTCATTTTTCTTTACATGGAGTAGACTGCAAGTTTGGAAGGCACTCTTCCCTAATACTTCTGAGTGGGTAGAAGAAGTTCTCATTTAATGAATTATAATAGGATCACTAGGAGAAGGAGAAAAATAGGGACTTCCCCCACACTTTGTGCTTGAGTTTTTACAACCATAATTTTAATAACAAATACAAGACCCGTATATATTTCAAAACTTGTTTTTCATATTCCTGTTTCCCTTCCTTGTAAACTCTTTTTCAAAAGATTTTTACCACTTTCTACTTAGGGAGTTTTGGCTCATGTATTTTCATCTAATGTTTTTTTTTTTTCCATGATACACAGTTTTATTTCCTATATTTTTTACATATCATTTAATCACATTAGCACACAGTTAAAAATTTCCTTCTCTCAGCTCTAAAATATCAAATGATTTTTGAGATTTATAATTGCTTTTGATGAAAACTGATGTCAAAGTATTTTTCTTCTAATTAAACATGAAGAGCATATTTTTTCATTCAATATATATGATATAAAATATATTCCAAAAATAAGTATGATCTCACTATATAAATAAAACTTATTTAAAATATATGCAGTATCAATTTTTCATTAGGGGCAGTAAAATGTAGGATTAACAACATTGGAGTTAGACTGCTTTAGAATCCCAGTTCAATACTTGTCATATGTGACCCTGGGCAATTAACCTGACTGCTTTCACTTTCTAATCTCATAGCACTGTTGTGAGGATATAGGAAAACTGCTTACAGCAATGCCTGGCACAACCCATAATAACTAGTAAGTTATATGTTTTCTAAAATCTAAGCTTTTTTTTTTTTTTTTTTTTGAGACAGAGTCTCACTTTGTTGCCCAGGCTAGAGTGGGTGTCATGGCATCAGCCTAGCTCACAGCAACCTCAAACTCCTGGGCTCAAGCAATCCTGCTGCCTCAGCCTCCCGAGTAGCTGGGACTACAGGCATATGCCACCATTCCTGGCTAATTTTTTCTATATATATTAGTTGGCCAATTAGTTTCTTTCTATTTATAGTAGAGATGGGGTCTCGCTCTTGCTCAGGCTGGTTTCAAACTCCTGACCTCGAGCAATCTGCCGCCTTGGCCTCCCAGAGTGCTAGGATTACAGGCGTGAGCCACCGTGCCCGGCCTAAAATCTAAGCTTTAAAGAATTAAATGATCTCTCTCTCCTGCTACAAAACCCCACTGTTGTATTCTCCTTTCAGCAAAGTCTGTCTTACCATTCTTTAATAAACAAGTAAATGGATTAATTAATTCATCCATGGGAAGAATGTTATAAAATACATTTTAATTTTGTTTATAGAAATAGAGTA